GATGAGACTACTGAATGAAAAGTTGAGCGAAAATAAGTTTTGGCTAGTGGAACTAAAGATGATAGCTTCTCTGAGCAGTGACCATGATAGTATTTGTAGAAAAGAGAAAGAGATGCAACCTTATGACAATATGAGAGAACCTCAAGCTTGACAAATAGAGCAGGTCCAACTACATTTACAATGCGCTTTTGAATCTTGAAAAGAAAGAGCATCATTAGATGAACCAGCTCAAATATGAATACTCAAATCTTCATAGAGATAAGAACAAGAGTTTGTAGAAGTAGAGAATGGAATCAGGAGTAAGAAGATGGCGAGCACGATAATGAAAAGTAGGTGTTAACTTTGCAATTGATGTATGTTTTTCATGAGAGGTCAATAATGAACGATAATCCAATAGACATAAAGAAGAGGACTCAGTGAAAAGGTTGTCATTCATCAGTATAGGAATGTTGATAGTATTGTAATAAATGTTTCCAGTAGATAACTGATTTTTTTTAGAATTCACAAGCCACTGCAAGCCCCAATCTGCTACAGAAATGAGATCAGATTCAAGATCAGCTGCCTGTTCTAAGCAATTGAAGACTTTTGGTCAAGACAGGAGTATAAGGTTGAGTCATCAGCAAGTCAGCTGTACAGCAACAAGATCAAAAACCGTATTTGACTCATCATACAATTGGAATACAAGGGATGTTACATATTGTTGATCAAAAACTCAAAGACTTTGCTAATAACAGATAGAATCAGACAATAGTTTGAGGGATTTAGAGTTTTTAATAATTGGAACAGATTCCATTTTCCAGCAAGTAGGAAAATGGGATTTGAAAAGAGTTGAAAAGAGAATTGAAGAGAGTTGTGAAAAACATGTTTTTTAGAGACAAGACACAAATCAAGGAGTGAAAATAAGTGATTATGATTGTCTGGAAAATGAATCACAAAGTTAACTATCTGAGAAATGCAGAAGTTATAGACTTTAGTGCCAGCAGGGTTAGTGATGTTAGAGCCAAGCCATTAAGTGTGATGACCATTAAAGTCACCAATAAGAACAATAATGACAGAGGGGTAAAGAGAAAGAGCATGGTCAATTTCATCAGAAATGTCATTTAAAAGAGTGCAGTCTTCAGAGAAAGGAGAAAAATAAAAAGCAAAGAGAAAGATGATGGAGTGAAGAGGCGCTAAGCATTATTACATAAAAGAATGATCAAACCTGATATCTCGACAAATAGTGAATTGATGCATAAGTATACCTCGAGCCAAGCATATGACTACTGTAGTCTTTGCGAGTCAAAGGGTGGTATCCATCAATACTTTTATCTGAATAAGGAACAGCCAAATTTAAATTAGTCTCACGAAAAACAAGCAAGCCTGGTAAATTTTGCAAAAGATAATATTTAACTGATTAAAAGTTACTTCAAAGACATCAAATGTTTGTGAAAGATCTATTAAAACAGTTAGATGGTGGGGATTTTTTTATGTTTAATATTTTGGGTTACTTTGGACATGGTATAAGTTTAAAAAAAAACTTGACTCATTCATTGCTAGAGCATCCTAATGAATGAGCTATGCAGTTGTACAATTGTAAGTATGCAGTTAACTCAGAGTTGTTAATCCAGATTTAGGGTTCCATATGTAACCTCAGCAATGCACACCAAAATTACTATCAGGAACACTATCCGTGCACAACATTGCACTGTTAATACACTGATATTTTACAGCTGTTGATGGAATCAGCCTCTCTGAGAGTTGAGAAACCTTACTACCAGCCGGCCTAAGAACTGTTAAACTGAGTTTTAGAGCTGTAAACCCTCATTAGGAGATAACAGGAATAGTTAACTATTCTCAAGGAACCACTATTAATAAGCACAATTAAAAAACTATAAGTAAAGTCAAAAAGATTCAGCATTCATCATCGTAGGCAAGAAACATTGTAACACAAGTTTACTTCTATGCCAGCCTGATAGATAAGTAGAAATGCAACGTGTTTTTTTGGTTCTTGTTTTTTTGGGTTTTTTGGTCGTTTTTTTGGAAAAAAAACATAGGGAACCATTTTTTTGTTTTTTTTTGGGAAATATTCAAAAATTCATTGTTTAAGTTATTAAATTTAACTTTAATGGCATTATCTTAATTTATATTTTCATTTCTGATTTAAATAGGACAATAAATACTGAAATTTACTGAATTAATTTTTGTTTTGATATGTTTAAAGGTTAACATGGTTGGAGCAGTCCTGTATAAAAACTTTTTTGATAATTTTATCTTCCTCAATTTTATCTTTATTATTTTTAGTGTATATTGACACATTAAACATTGTTTATTTACATTTATTATATTTAATAAAATTTAACAACTAATGAATGAGACTTAGCATAATAAAGAGTCAAGCGAGAATGAATTTTTGTTAATGGAACTAGAAATAATAACTCTTTTGAGCAGCCACCATGATAGAATTTGGAGAAAAGAGAAAGAGATGCAACTTTACGACAATGGGAAAGAGGCTCAAGCTTAGCAGATAGAGCTTGTTTAGAAGAAAAAGGGCATCATAAGAAGAACCAGCCCAAATATGACAACAACATTCCATACATGGACAAAAAGATATTTCTAGAGGTAGAGAATGGAATCAAGGGTAAGAAAATGACAATGATAAAGGGATGCTAATTTAGCAATCGATTGTATATTTTGTTTATATGAAAGTTTAGTAGCAAATGATATTCCAAGAAGATGTAAAAAAGAGGACTCAGTAAGAGAGTTACCATTTATTAATATAGAAATGTTGACAGTTTTGTGGTAGTTGTTTGCAGTAAATAACTGAGTTTAGTTGAAATTAAAATTTATAAGCTAAAATATGTGAGCCCCAATCTGTTACAGAAGTAAGATCAGATTTAAAATTGGTTGCCTGTTCTAAGCGATCAAAAAGAGAAGACTTTTTGTCAAGACAGGAGTAAAAACTTGAGTTATCAGCAAAAAGAGCTACTATAGATGTAGGGTTGCCGGGAAGATCAGTAATGTAGATAAGAAACAAAACAGGACCAAGAATAGAACCTTGAGATAACCCAAAAGTTACTGGAAATAAATAAGTAGGCCTTTGACAATGATTATAATAAAGCAGTTAGAAAGAAATGATTTAGTAATCCCAGATACACAATTTGAAGTTTCAAGTCTAATTTAAGTTTAATTGTTCAATATTTAGTTCTTACTTAAGCTCATTTTCTATTTAACAGGTCCCTAATATTGTTTAAATGGTCCCTAAAATGTTTATATTAAAAAGGTTAACTTATTACTCAAATAAAGGGAAATTTTATATAAATCTTTTCTGAATTAGAATCTAAAAATAGAATAATACAAAAAATAACCACATCACATAAACAACACTGAGTAGTGATTTTTAAAGCACCATAATATCTATATATACATACATATATATATATATATATAAAGAAAAAGGATATCTTTAAATTATTGAGTGAATTTTTCTTTCTTGTTGGTAATCAACAGGAAGAACAAAAAGAATTATGATTAGGCTTTCCATACAGGGGGCAGAAATAAAACCTTAGTCACCCATTAATTTAAACCTCTGAACCAAATTAGTAAAATGGAAAAAGATAAACGAAGCTTTTGCCATAAGATTATGTCTAAAAATTGAACTTAAAAAACAGAGCATATTAAAGAATTTTGCAAGTGTTCTGATATAGTGCTATATGAAAATATCTAGATAAATAAATAATGTGATTAGAAAAAAAAATGCTGTTAAAAAAAAATAAATAAATAAATAAATAACGAATTTTGGGAAACTCCGTAAATAATAATAATAATTTGAAATTTTTTAAATTTTCCTTGAAATTAAGTTCAGTATAGGGCTTTTTTTTAATATGGGCATACTAACAATATATATTTTTTTGATATAACAAACAAACATTGTAAGACTTAATTACTACATAATATACAAATGCTTAATTAAGTAAATAATCTTGATAGATTGCTTATTTTTTTGAGCATTTAAAGTCTGATATTAAATTTGCATGGTATTGTACATTAATATATTTACATTATCAAAATTAAAATGGTAACTTTTTTATAGAATAAGAGTAGTTTTTATATATAATGAGAGTATCACAGTTGTTAGTACAACAAAGCAAAATATAAACATTTTCATACAGTATGCCTAGATATATAACTAACTTAAAACTAATTTAAATTTTTTATAAAAAAATTATGTTAAATTGGTGTTTATACATCTAATTGTGCCTTTAATGGCCAAATGCTAAAATTATGCTAGAGTAAAGGAAAGCTATTCCAAAATTTATTTCGAAAAAAAACTAAAAAATTGTTAAAAAAAGCAATGCAACACCAAAAAAAACAAAAAAACGTTTTTTTGACCCAAAAAAATGACAAAGGAATAAAACGCGTTTTTTTGCAACTCTATAGATGAGGAAGGGGTTTGATGAGTATTTTTATTGAGGCACAATCTATAATTTTACTCAACCAAAAGCCCTAAGGGAGGGGATTTTAGCTGGATGTAGTTTACATCTGCCCAAGATGAGTATTTTTATCAAGACACCCTCTCTAGCCTTGACTCAAATAAGAGCCCTAGGGCAGGGAATTTTCAAGTTATAGTTTATTTCTTCTATACTTTGTCTAAAAAAAGCAAACCCTACAAGGCAGTAGGGCATGGAGCAGGTAGTACTGGGTTTTATAATACCAATAACAGAGTTATAGTGATGATCCTGAACTTGACCTGAGCTATGATAGTTGTAATTTAAAAGTGATTCTTTACTAATTTATTGTTCTGTTTTGCTTTTTTTATATATCGATCTCTCTATTTGGTAGAACACATTTAAAACTATTTGTCTCTATATATATATATATATATATATATATATATGTATATATATATATATATATATATATATATATATATATATATATATATATATATATATATATATATATATATATATATATATATACACACACACACAAATTTACATAGAAATATATATTTACAGGAAAAGCAACCCAGATATTACTTCATGGATGGCTAGCCATGGTATGGGTAGCAATTATTCATTACTAGAGCAATATTATGAACAAAGGTATGATTTAAATAATTTGTATTTCTTACACACTGTTACACATGTAACGGTGTGTAAGAAATACAAATTGTATCTAATTTAGCTTGACTCTTAAAAATTTAGTTTTGATATAATGATTGATTTTATCACTTGACAGGCGCAGTATTTATTAAGAGCATTAGGCTTAAAATAAGCTAGCCTATTAAAAAATACATTTCTATTAAAAACATATTTTATATTTAACCACAGGTTTGATTGATTTTAATGTGACTTTTATAGTGTTATATGTAGAGCCATGTACATACGCTATTCTATTAAAATGTACGTACGTACATATTCTATTAAAAACATATTTTATATTTAACCACAGGTTTGATTGATTTTAATGTGACTTTTAAAGTGTTATATGTAGAGCCATGTACATACGCCTTGAGTGATTTTATGTAAACAATAAGCGATTTTGGTTTAGCAACTTTTTATCATTTTTTGACTTTTAGATTATTCAATAAATGGTAAGATAAAAGAAGTAATTAATTTAAAAAAAAGTCACATTAACTTTTGAATGATGTTTATGAAAAATTATTTGTTACAAAAGTTTGAATGACTATGTTTGGTATAAGTTTAAATGACAATTTCTTTTAAAAAAAACTAATGAAAATGATATTACTTGTTTGATATAAGCTGTGATATTTACTAATGAAAAAACTCAAATAAAATTAAAAGTTTATTTTTATTTTGTTTTTATTGTAATGCTTGATTTTTTAGAGTTAAAGCGAGGATCATAAAAACATAATTTAATTCTGATAAAAAATATATGATTTAATTTAAAACTAATTTAATCAAAAAATATAATTTTATTCTGATAAAAATATATATAATTTAATTTTGATTTAAAAAATATATTTTAGTTTAATAAAATTAAAGTTAATGCTTGGGTCTAAAAATATTACTAATATTGAAATTTTATTTGTTCAGTGACCAGTTTCTCCACATTCACCCTTAGGTGCTTCTGATCACAGTTTAATCTCTCTAAAACTATTATGTCATTCTTTTTCATCATCAGAATCCCCCTATCATCGTACCTCTTACAACTACCTTAAAGCTGACTGGGACTCTTTCCATGATTTTCTTTGTAAAGGCCTTTGGGTAGAAATCTTTCGTCTTCCTGCTGACAAATGTACTTCTTACATAACTTTGTGGATTCAAGCTGGTATGGAATCTTTTATTCCCTCTTAGCAATTCCAGGTCAAGCCTCACTCTTTTCCATGGTTTTCCTCACATTGTGCTGCTGCAATTTCTAATTGAAACTGTTACTTCCATATCTATCAGCAAAACAATTTTCCAGAAAATTGACGTCTGTTTACTATTGCTTGAAACCATTGTTAAAAGGATTTGTCTAATGCCAAAGCTCACTATTCTCAAGTCATATAATCTTTTATTTCATCTCAATTGTGAAATCGTGAGTTCTGGAGAATTTTTAACAGTATCAATAAAAAGGGCAAATCTGTTATTCCACCTCTCTTGTATGGTGTCAGACAATTGTTTCCTAAGAACTTTTCATCAATATCAGCTCTTATTAATAGACTCTTCTACAGATGGTGGTCCAGACAACATATCTGTTATAGTCTTGCAGAAGTGTTCTCTGAAGCTGTCATCTATACTTTCAAAACTATTTAATAAGTACTTATCAGAGTCTTGTTTTCTGGCATGCTGGAAAGCGGCATCTGTCATCCCTATTTTTGAAAATTCTATTGAGCGATCTGAATACCGTCCCATTAGTCTTCTTCCTATCATAAGCAAGGTTTTTGAATCTTTAATTAACAAATACTTAATCTCTCATCTTGAATCTAATAAATTACTTTCTGATCATCAATATAGATTTCAATCTTTTTGTTCTGCAGCTGATTTGCTAACAGTAATTACTGATAGGTTTTATTGTGCATTAGACAGAGGTGGAGTGGTTAAGGCCATTGCTCTTGACATTTCTAAAGCTTTTGATAAAGTTTGTGTATCTGGTAACATCTTTACAATTATTGAGTCCTTCCTTTCCAATTGTAGTATAAAAGTTTCCTTGATGGACAGTACTCTTCATCATATCCTGTAACTTCAGGGGTTCCTCAAGGTTCAATCCTTGGCCCTATACTCTTTTTAATTTACATTAACGATCTTCCAGATATTCTCATATCTAAGGTGGCATTGTTCACTGATGACACTACCATTTATTCTTATCATGATAAGAAGGAAACACTCTCTGATAGCTTGGAGGGGGCATCTGAGCTTGAAAAGGATCTCACTTCTGTTACAGCATGGGACTCACAGTGGCTGGTGAACTTTAATTCAGATAAATTCAATTTTTTCAGCTAATTGTTATCGCAATAATTTAGATCTTCCTAAATTTAAGAATGATAATGTACTCTATGAGTTATCTACCCTTCATCTTCTAGGAATAACTCTTACTTCTGATCTTTCTTGGAAACTGTAAATCCATCGCAAAATTAGCATCTGCTAAGGTTGCATTTCTTTATTGAGCTCGACACATTCTTACTCCGGATTCTATTCTTTATCTCTACAAACTTCAAATTTGTCCTTGTATGGAATACTGTTGCCATATCTGGGGCGAATCTTCTAATGATGCCCTTTCTATTTTCAAGAAAATGCAAAATTGCATTGTAAACATAGTTGGACCTGCTCTTGCAGCCAACCTTCAACCTCTGTCACATCGTCATAATGTTGCTTCTCTTTCTCTTTTCTACAAATACTATAATGGGCACAGCTCTAAAGAGCTAGCGTCTCTTGTGTCATCTAAAATTCATTCTAAATTTACTACTACTAAAATACATTCTTGTGTTACTCGTCATTCAATTAAGTCTTATCCTTTTTCTGTGACTGTTTCTAAGTGCTCCAAAAACTTTTAAACTATTCGTCTAGTGTTTTTCCTCAAACATCAGTTCTTTGGAATTCGCTTCCTTCATCTTGCTTTCCTGATTCATATAATTTGCAATCTTTTAAGTAGTCTGTCAATTGTCAAATCTTGCTCTACAAACTTCATCTTTTCTCTTCCAGTAAATTCTAGTAGCTTTCTTATAGTGGTTTCTTGCAGCCTTAAAAAAAGAAATTAAGTAAATAAATTAACTTAATTTTTTTATTTGAAGTTTTCACCCTGATTTCTAGTAATATAACGATAATACTTGACTCTATTGTTATTGGACATTCAATACTTTCTTCGACTACCATTGGTATATGTGTGATCTATGAATATGTATGTATATAAGTATCATATTGTTTTTCTGTTGAGAATATAACGCAATAATAATTTATACTTTATATAATTATATCCGTTGAAGGTATATTTTTTTCTCACTGATTTTTATATCAATTTTTATAATAAAAAATCATTTGTAGTTGCAAAGCCGCAAATAAAAATTTAAGAAATAATCATTTTGAAAATTCAAAACTTTAACATATTTCAATTCAATTATGCAAATGTGGAGAAAATAAAGAAATTTGTAATATCAAACATTTTTTTCAAATGAAATACTAAATTTAATTATTTAATAATTAAAAAAAATAAAATGAAATAAACATTCCCTTATAGTAATAATAAAAAAGCTGTTAAATAGTATTCAACTTGTTTTTTGTTAAATAATATTATTGCAGCAATTTAAAAAAGTTAATGTCTTTAAAAAATAAAAAAATAAAGAGAATTTAATGAAGTCAAATATCGCGTTAAGCTAATCCATTAAGCATTTTTTATTTAAAACAAGGCCTTAATTATTATATTGTTCAATAAGAGATAGTGGTGTAGTGGTAGAGTGGTTGCCTCATAAGCGAGAAGTTTCATATTCGATCCCCACCAAATATTTTTTAAAAACTGTGGCATATAAAATTCGCCAAATGGTCACACACTAGCAGTGAATGCCTTAAGGAAGAAATAAAGTGCATTAGAATAAAGGAGAACTATTTTTTGAACAAAGCATGTTTTGACAGTTGTCAAGACAAAAATTGCTTAATCACCTGTGTCGAACTTGGATAACTTGGATACTTGGATTAAGTAATAAACATCTCCTCTGAGTTGCGTCTATTATTGATGAGGATCAGCACTTTTTTTTATATTTTAAACAAAAAGTAAAAAACACAGATTTTTAATTAGAAAATTGCTTAATCACCTTAGTCGATTTCACTTTTTTTGTTTAGCAGATTTTGATTTTTGGAAAATAAATTTTCATATTTTTTAGTTATGCATAGTTTGCAGGACTTCATGGTTGTAAGCATTGCACTGCTTAATTACTTTCCATTTAACAACTGAATTTAAATTTACATCTTTTAATTTCCAAAATTCTTTTGATAGTTCAGTGTCATTTTTGTATTTAAATGATTTGTAGTTAAATGATTTTATATGGTTGGCATATATAATTTTCAATGGTGTTTTGCTTATACCGATGTATATTTATAATAATTTATAACTTATATTAGCTTTGTATATGATAATATATAATGCATCAAAGTCAAATGTTAAATGAAGTGTATGCTACTTTAAATGCTTTTTAAAGTTTTCTTTTAAATAATTGTAAGAAATAAAATCTTTGTAGATCAAAATATATTTTTATTAATTAACATACTTTTGTAGTAAGTACAGTAACTATATGATTGTCCTGCCGGGCTACTGACAGGCATTTTTTAAAATTTTAGTTGCCCTTGGAGAAAATGTGTCGCCTCGTGCCACCAGATGACCATGAAAGTGCACCCCTGATATATATATATATATATATATATATATATATATATATATATATATATATATATATATATATATATATATATATATATATATGTATATATATCAGGGGTGATATATATATATAAATATATATATACATATATATATATATATATATTTATATATATATAAATATATATATATTTATATATATATAAATATATATAAATATATATATATATATTTATAAATAAATATATATATACAAGATATATATATATATATATATATATATATATATATATATATATATATATATATATATATATATATATATATATTTCTTGTATATATATCTTGATTAATATTTATTAAACAGAGTAATAAACATATTTAAAAAAAAAAAAAAGTAGTACAAAAAAGCAAACCTTTATACAACTTCATGAACAAACCTTTATACATCTTTATGTACAAACCTTTATACAACTTTATGTACAAACTTTTATATAACTTCATGTACAAACCTTTATAAAACTCTATGTACAATTCATAAACATAATAATGAATAATAATGAAAATCTATCCAGGCTAAAAGGCGCAATTAGGCTCATTCTACTTTTAAGCCATCTGTACATAGCGGGTGATTTCAAAAGCCAAACAAGTATATAACACAGAATAAAAGCTCCCAGACTTGTTTATTTGATTGGTTTATATTAAGACTCAACATTGACATAAGTACAAGGTCTTAAATCTGAGTTACTAGAAAGTCTAGCAAATTCTTTTTTATTACTTGGTGATTTTATTCAAAGTGCGCAATAAAAGTTTTTTTTAAAGTAACAAAGTAATCTTTATGCAATAGAAGTATATTTTACATAGTTTTGTTTTGTTTGTACAATCAAACATAGTTTTATTTGTACTTCAATCTAAAAATATAAAAATAATTGTTTTTTTTTTTTAAATTAACAAAAGTTTTTGTTTAAATAATTTTTTTTTCAAAGTCATAATTTATCATATTTTAATAAAAAATATTATTTTTGAAAATTGATTTCTTTTGAGAATTTTTTTTTAAATTACTTTGTTTATACATATAGATTACTTGATATTATTGGCAAACTTGGAAAAGGTTATGTAATTTGGCAAGAAGTTGTTGACAATCAAGTTAAGGTATGATTTTAAGTCATGTTGATTATTTTGTTAAAACAAATTCATGATATTATCCATTGAAGGTATATATATTATTTTTATCTAGTTAAGTATTAGGGACATATTTCGTTTATTTGCAGACATAAATTTTTTTTTTCCCAACATCTTCACTTCCAACAAGGCTGCAAACAACCACTATTAGAGTTGGAAGTTACTGGAAAAAAAAAAATGAAGTTTATAGAGCAAGATAACAATTGACAGGCGCTTAAAAGATTGCAAATTATATGAATCAGGGAAACAAGATGAAGGAAGCAAATTCCTAAGAACTGATGTTCGAGGAAAAAAACTAGATAAATAAGAATTTTTGAAGAACTTAAGAACAGTCACAGTAAAAGAATGAGACTTAATTAAATGGTGAGTAATATGAGAATGAATTTTAGTAGATGGCAGAAGAGATGTTAGCTCCTTAGAGCAGTGCCCATTATAGTATTTATAGGAAAGAGGAAGAAAAGCAACATTGTGACATTGTGATAATGGTTGAAGGTTGGCTGCAAGTGCAGGTCTAACTATGTTTACAATGAGTTCTAGAAAATAAAGGGTAGATGACTCATTACCGGTCATAAATATAGGAGTTGTTGCGATAACGTTTAACTAAAAAAATTGAGTTTTATCTGAGTTATTGTTCACCAGTCTCTGAGAGTCCCATGCTGTAGCATAAGTGAGATCCTTTTCAAGTTCAAAGTGTTAGCTTCTTATAAAACAAGAATAAATGGTAGTATCATCAGGGAACAATCCTACCTTAGATGTGAGAATTTCAGGAAGATTGTTTATGTAAATTAAAAATTGAGGAATTTCTGAAGTTACAGGATATGAAGAAGAGTGCTGTCCATCGAAAACAACTTTTATACTATTTGTGTAGAATGATTCAATAATCTTAAAGATGTTACATGATACATCGTAAAAAGAAAGCGGAGAAGAATGCCAATCTTTATCAAATGCTTTAGAAATGTTGAGAGTAATGACCTTAGCCTCTCTACATCTATCTAATCAATGATAAAACCTATTGGTTGTTACTAACAAATCAGCAGTAGAGCAAGAAGATCGAAATCCATTTTGATGATCAAAAAGTAATTTATTAGATTCAAGATGAAAGATAAAGTGTTTGTTAATTAAAGACTCAAAAACCTTGCTCATGATAGTAAGAAGACTAATGGGATGGATAGTTGGATGATTCAGATCTCTCTCCAGAGTTTCATAATGTTTCATTTTGTGATATAAACATTTTTGTAAATTTATATATAATAATTTATTCAAAGTGTTAGCTTCTTATAAAACAAGAATAAATGATAGATATAAAAATTTTTGTAAATTTATAAATTTCTCACGAAGGCAGGGGTTACACATTTTGGTTTTTGTTTTGATAGATTTACAGCATTTTATAAATTTCCACTTTATTGTGTTTTTTATGTCTTTTTCTTTTAAATTCCAAATCTCCTTAGAAAGCTTGGTATCATTTCTATATTTCACAACAATAAAAGGTTTTTAATTATTTGCGTATCTATGCTTGAATGGTGTCTCACTGATACCGAAATATACTTTTTCTTTTTCTTTAGGATTAGGATTTTCATCAATCACAGTAGCTTGATAAGCAATATTACTTAATAAACATTGATTGTTAAATAAGCAAGCGGTCTCTAATGCAGTTAAAAGTTCTTGCATTCAAACTTGTATCACTGTGGAAAATCTTTTGGTTATGTGAACTAATTATGGATATTGCGTTTTGCATACTGATTTAACTTTGATCCACTTTCTGTTAAATATTTTGTGAAATTTACTGGTTTACTTGGAAGTGCAATGCTAATAAATAACTGCCCATTTTTGTGGCCACATTCTGACTAAATGGAAGATTGTACCATATCACTTTTTGCTTTCAAATTTTTTGCTTTCGATTTTTTGAAGCCTAGAAGTCAAAAGTTGTTCTACCATAATTTTTAATTCATTTGTAAGTTGTTTTTTAAACTGTTTTTTCTAACGGTTTTTTATTTCAATTTTGTTAGAGTTTCGTGCTATACCTAGCAATTATTAGCTATTCAATAAATAAAAAACCGTTAGAGAAAACAGTTTAAAAAAAACTTTTTCAAATGAATAAAAAATTTATATATATATATATATATATATATATATATATATATATATATATATATATATATATATATATATATATATATATATATATATATCTGGGGCTATTCTAGGAAAAAAATTTGGGCGGCGGTACCCTTCATCCTGAAGAAATTTAGCGCAAATATTGCCCAATATTGGCATTTTTGGCATTGATAAATATATATATATATATATATATATATATATATATATATATATATATATATATATATATATATATATATATATATATATATATATATATATATATATATATATATATATATAAAATCAGAGTTAAGTTAATTCAAGTTTGATATTAAAGTTCAAAATAAAACAAAAGAGTGTGTTTATTTATTTAGGCAACGTATACAATAAATATAAATTCTTGTATAAATCTTATACAAGAATTTACAAAATTGTAGGGGAGATGGGGCTAGTTGTCCCCCTTTTTTTACTCTTTTAACTCTGTAGCCCTAATGAAAAAATTTTTTGTAAATATTATAGCGTCTTAAAGAGTATAAATTTAGGTTTTTAAACATTTTAAACTTTTAGGTACATTTTAAACTTTTATAATGACTTACAGTCATTATAAAAATATTTTCTTGTGGTTCTTCTGGGGCCTCAAAAAAAAAAAAATTGGTGCAAACTATAAAAATGAAAATTAATGTACTATTAGTGTGCAAAATTTATAGAATTTTTTTTACTATTTATTTTGGAAACAATCTTAAGTCAAAAATTTAATATTACTTTTAGCTGATATTAGTTCATTGAACAAGCTAAAACAGTAGCTTTTTCATCTATTAATCTATCACTATCTATTATCTATCACTTTTTCTCTATTAAAAAAAAAAACTTGGATTTTTTTTTTAGATTGTTGTAAAAAATAAATTTTTTCAATATTGCTATAAATTAAAAATAAATTGATTATATAAAAATATTTATTTTCCATAGAAAATACTATGAGTCAAGATGCCCTGTGTAAATTTTGCCAACTTACCCCAAAAGCCTTTTTTCAATAAACAGTCTATAGATCCTGAAAGCGACAACTATTAACAAAAATGATTGGAAATAGTAAATCAATTGTGGATAAAAAATTTTCAACAATATTTTTTTCATAGGACTATTTTCTTTGTAAAGTAAAAAAGAAGCGTTCTAAAACGTTTTTGTCCTAAAAACCCATAAATCCCAATATCTCCCATGCACAATGGATGCACGAATCCTGAATTACTCCAGTAAAAAATGAAATTATCAATTAAAAAGATTCTATACAATTTTTGGCACTTTCTGATGAAAGGCTTTGAAGAAAACCCAGTTCGTTAATAGACTTTTTCATAATTGAGCGGCAATTATGAATCATGTGACCTAATGTTTTTCTTGGGAGGGCAAAATTAAAAACAAACTTGACAATACGCTTTATCTTTTTATTGTTTGTTTAATATCTAAAAGTAGTTTATCTGGAAATATATTATTTAAAAATTGTATTTTAACATGCCAATTGAAAAATGCGAAGATTTTTTGAATTTATCTGCCAAACAGCTTGTTAGTTTTTTAACTGTTTGTGGGCTAAGTACTACTGGATGCAAAGTTAAGCTTGTTGCTAGAGCATTTACTGCAATGAAATTAAATATAGATGTTATAAAGAGAGCAGAAGAACAGGAAAGAAAACTTAATCAATATTATGCGGACAAGCTAAAAGCTTTTAATCTAATTGACCCAAACTCTGTTCCAATGAATAATAGAAATGACTTAGTATCTGGGTGGCCTAGTATAACAATGGGAAATATTTTTTCATATATTCTTAATAAAAAATATTTTGTTTCAGAATATATTCAAGTGTAAGGACCAAAAAGCATTTTAATTTTTCGATAGTGGTTTTGTAGGCCCTATAATGCTCTTCAGGTTTAAAAAAAATGTTTTATTTGCATATTCTGAAGTGTGTGGTTTGCAAAAAGTTCACGAAAAAAGAAAGCTTTGGATTGCCTTTTATAATAATGATATTCTGGAGCTTTTGAAGTTTGCAATCATGTTATTGCCACCCTTTATAAAATGTAATATGCTAATAACAAAAGTTGGTGTAATTTAACATGTACAGAACAAGTGTGTGTCTGGAATAAGTCTTCTAGAAAAGATATAAAATCGTGTTTAATAACTGACCTAGTTGTTCGAAAAAAATTTTCAAATAATGAAAAAAATAATAATAATAAGGAAAACACAAATATTAAAGCATTGCAAGAATTCAATCCAAGAATCGAAAGTCATTTTAAATTTAATGAACATTCATTTAAAACTTTTTTAAACAAAGTTCATATATCCAAGGCTTCTGCTGTAATATTTAAATCAAAAATTAAAAAATCTGATGAAAATATTGTAAGTAATCCTGATCTTGAAGAACTATCGTTTGAAATACTTTTAGACCACCCTAACGTTGATAAGTCAACATTAGGTAAAATATTTTTTGAAAAATGGTTTTAACACACCAAACAATTAAAAACGTGGAGTATAACACAAGACATCAAGCTAAAAGCAATACCTGGTTTCAAATGAGAAAAGGGAGGATAACTGCATCCAAACATCAGTTTTAATACTCTTTTTAGAAATACAAGTTCTAAGAAGCTAACTCCTTGTTGCTGAGATTTTATACTCTCATAAAAAAAATTTCTTACTGCTTCTATCAAATGGGGAATTAATCATGATAAACAAAGTAATTAAAAGCGAAATCGCAAATGTTTCAAACAAAACCCTTTATGTTCAAGAAAATTCGGACGAAGCAAAAAATGTTTTGTATGATAGACCGTTGCTTTTTAAATATATATATATATATATATATATATATATATATATATATATATATATATATATATATATATATATATATATATATTTATATATATATATATATTTATATATATATATATATATCTTTTTCTATTTTATTGAGGTAAAGGTATTAATAAAATATTCTTTACTAAATTTTTTTTTGACTTATACTTTATTTGTATTTATTTTTGTAAATGTATATCATTTTTAAAATAATACATCTGATGTATTTTTTCTTATTTGTTTATATGTATATTATTGGTTTGTTTACATTTTCGCTTTCCCGATAAAAAACATTGCATCACGTGATTCATAATAGCCGCTTAATTACGAAGTTTTCTATTTACTTCTGCTGCCAACTAGCCCCGGTCTCCCCTATTCTTTTAAGTTTTTTAAATGACTTTTTTATCCAAGGAAGTTTATAAAATATATAAATAAAAACTATTAAATATTTAAACTTTTTATTCACACATGTAATCATATTTAACATTAAAGATTATTTTCAGAGTATTTATGGTTATCATATTTTTAAATATACAGCAAAATTTCACCTATGTTTGAAAAATGCATTATTAATTTAATTGCTTTTTTGTATATAAAGTAAAAAGTTTTTTGTTTTTTTTTGGGAATCGAAATGCATACCCCCTATTTCTTTTTAAAATATCTAGACTTACTTAAATCAGATCAGGCAGGATATTTTCTTTTGACGGTCTCTTTTTTCCAGTCTGGATACAGATTTCTATACTCTTGCACACAGTGTAGCAAATATTGCTTTTGTTCTTTCTTAGCAGTGATCCATGAAAATCTTGAAAAAATTTTACTACTCTTTCAACTGCATCATTAACTTAAAAATAAAATTTTATTTTTACCTCTATATAGGCAACATCTTCATCTCACGTTGAAACGGGTTTCTGGAGGAATTTTATTTACAAAAAACACTTTTTGTTTTGTTTTGTTAGTATAATTATTTAAATTGTTTTGTAGTCCTCCTCACGGCGCTTTTAAACATCTTGTTTTTTTTTTCGATTTTTTTTTTTCTATCTTTACCAGAGCTATACCTAACAGTTTTTTTAAACAGCTTTTTCTTTATCTTATAATAATTAGTCTTTTTTATATTAATTTTCAGGTTCAAGCAGATACAGTAGTTAATGTATGGATTGATGGCTGGCAAAATGAGTTAGCACGTGTCACAAATTTAGGTTATCACGTAATTCTTTCATCACCATGGTATTTAAACTATATTTCATACGGACCAGATTGGCCTTCAGTATGTATTTCTTAAAAATATTTAAGGAATCTTAAAGTTTTACTTGAACTCTACAATAATTTTTTTGTATTAGTACTATAATGCTGATCCTCAAAATTTTAATGGTTCTGATGCCCAAAAAAAATTGGTTATTGGCGGAACTGCATGCATGTGGGGAGAATGGGTTGATGGAACCAACCTTATTCCTAGAACCTGGTATAGTATTATTATCTAATAATAAATTTAGTGTTTTTTTGTTTTGTTTTGTTTTGTTTTATTGATATAATTTTTATTTTTGATTTTTATGGAAATTTATTTTAGGGCACGCGGACTTTCGGTTGCTGAAAGATTATGGAGTCCAAAAGAGACAAGAGATATTTCTGATGCAACAAGAAGAATATGGGAACATAGATGTAGATATTTAAAGTTAAAATAAAACCATATATATAATTAGATGATTAATTTATTTTTATAAATTTATTGCGTACATGATTACGAACCTCGTAAATATGTTACTTCGGAATGCGATTGCGTTTGAGAGCAGCGATCGTTTTACTTTTTTTCTTTTCTTTTAGACGCGGTATTCAAGCTGAAAATGTAGTACAAAGTAAATACTGTCGACACGAATGGATTAATACTCATGATCTATAATCGATTTCAAACTGGTTTAAGAATTAACTGAATAAGTTAATTATAGAAGATATCATCAAGTTTCTTTTCTTTTTTTTTCTTTTTTTACACTTTATTAAAAAATTTCTTTTATCTTAATGGTGACCATAATTTCAATTGCAACTTTTATACTCAATTTAAAATTTATACTGTAAAATAATTAACGATTTTTTTTAAAAGTTTGTTGTTAATTTTATATTATGTTCTGGTTGTATCGAAGAAAGCATTTCATATATTTTTTTATTTCTTTGGCGAATTCTTTTAAATTTTTTTTTTCACTGCTAAAATAAGTTATTTTAGTTAATAATTTAACATGACTGAGTCTGTACCTAACATCATTTTGTCACATCAATGTGTACCTAACACCGTTTTGTTATATCAATGTGCATCTAACACCATTTTTTTACATCAGTGTGCATCTAACACCATTTTGTCACATCAGAATGCACCTAACACCATTTAGTTATCAGTGAGAACAATCCATTGAAGTTGGTAGCAAAAAATATAATATTTGCATTTATGTAGATATTAAGCCTTAAGTTTAAAAGCAATGAGACGAGTGCATCCCAAGTTTCTTTTTATATTGTTGAAGTATAGGTTGAATTTTCTATTTATCTTAAAGCTTAAGATGCAAACAAGGTTCTCTTGTCCGATCTTTGAAAGGATATCTAATTGTAATTTTAACTTAAAAGGGTATAGCCTACAAAAATACTTATGAATTATCAAACTGTCAGAAAATGTTTTTACTAGCGTTCAAAAAATCAACCATTATGAGGAATGGGAAACGTTTCAAGATTGAATGTATAAGTTATCTATTACTTCCATTATTACCATTTTTTCAATGCAAAAACAAACTTATGAGGTAAAACTTCATTGTTGAGCTCCTAAAGTTAAACTTTTTGTTTATTTAAAAAAATAATAACCAAATGTCACAGCGGAATTACTCAATATTCTATATATCGTCGGTATACAAGGGAAATGCACTATGTCCATTTTTGACAGTCCACTATTTAGTATTTTAAATTCTCTATCGCTTGATATACTACACAAATTAAATCAATTATTAATGAGTTATTAAGATTTTTTACTTCAACTATTGCTCAAAATCTTATTATTTTAACTTAATCCGCAAAAACTTATTTGTTCATTATCTCAAATTAATGTTTTTGGACTTAATGAATTTCCCTTGCATACCGACAATATGTTTTTATCTTAATATGTCATTGTTTAATGCTTTAAAAATGACATTTTCAAGAACTATGCTAACTCTAAAATCAAAAATATTCATGCTTATATAAAATGAGAATGCTTTGCTTAAAATAACAATGATTAGAACAAAATTACCTCAAAAAAATCAATCCCCCCTCTCCTCCCTCCTGAATCCAATTGCGAGGAAAATGAGTAAAAAAAAAATATCTTTTAATATACTTAAATTCAAGGTTTTTAAATTTCATTTAATAATCTTTTAATGTTCAATTATATAATCAAATGTTATAACAAAATGTATAATAATAAATATATAATTTGCTTCCCAAACTCCAACTACCGCAATTTTTCCAAAACATTTTCATTTAGCATAACCATTCCGCGTTTTTTACATAACTATGAAAGAACTTTTTTTTTTTTTTTAGTTGATTAAGGTGCCCCAAGAAGTCCATACGGTCTTATCACAAAGCGCAGCGGAAGAGCATTTAATAGGAAGTTCATGCCTCCTTCCCAACCGATGTCGCAAAACTTGCACAGAGGTGGGGTTTGAACCATGGATCTTACGTTTCTGAGGCAAGTGCGCTACCACGACTGCTTAAGAACTCACATAGATCATATTAAATTTTAATTTGAAGGTGTTTAAAACGACCTTAGGTGCTTAAAAACTCACATAGATCATATTAAATTTTAATTTAAACGTGTTTAAAATGACCTTAATAAAGCTACAAACCAATAACTTTACTTCGGCAGCTTCTCTGACACACAGATCTTTGCCACGACAAGGTTCTTTATAATAGTGGCGCTGTTATATAATTTTATTATATAACATTTAATATAATAAAATATTTTGCACCACACAAAAAGAGTTCCCATTATAAAGTTGTCATGATACAATAAAACATCGCGAGATTTTATTGACATCAGAATGGTCATCCTTAAACTTCGGAAAAACTAATTTGTGAGTTTATAGAGCAGCCGTGGCGCAATGGTAGTGCATTTGCCTCAGAAACGTAAAACCCATGGTCCGAACCCCACCTCAAGGCAATTTTTGCGACATCTGTTGGAAAGGAGACGTGAACTTATTAAAAGCTCTTTCGCGGTGCTCTGTTATAAGACCGTAAAAACTTCTTGGTGCACCTAAAAAAAAAAAAATCAACCTTGCACACACCTATAAAGAGAAAAGCTTATGTAAAGTGTTTCATTCTAAATTTTCACACTCATGATAAATTGTCTCATTAGATGCTATTGAAACTTGTTTTAATTGTTTGTCGGTAAAGTCATTCAAATCAAATATTGGACAGTGGAAGAAAGAATTAGGGTCGCGCTGCAAAGAAAGAATTAGGGTCGCACTGCAGTTGAGCTAGAAACCTATTCTTTGCTGCGTTTAAAATCATTCATCTTTCTATTCTTGGACTTTAAAGATAAATCTTGTAACATAAACTTGATGTTTCTTTGTAATAAAGAAACCATTTATATCTGCAGCAGTAACATTATAGAATCCTGCTAAAATTTTTGTTATGAGTTTAATCGCATGAATGCAACAAATTGCTGTCCAATTAAAGAAAGTAACCTTCATATCCACATATCACTTAACATATATCTGCAAACTTTATTGTAAAATCCAGTTCAATAACTCATTTTTGCAGTAAAAACAGCTCGAGATATTTTCACCACTACACCATTTGAAAAACTCAGGTATTTTGACCACACACTATCGTTAACGCATTTTGTATTATTCTCTTCAACCTCATCTAAAATGTTGTTTCTAAGGGGTTGTCCTAATGCTGTTGTATTTGCGGAGCTACACCAAATGCTATGAAGTGTTTGGAGAACTTCTAAATGGCTTTACAGCTACGAAAAAAAGAGGAACACATATCTATGAACACATATACACGCTTGAATAATATTTCTAGAGTGTATTTTATATATATTTCACACTGACTCATATTCATAAAATAAAGAGTAAGTAAAAAGTTCAAAACAATTTACGGCAACAAAAAGAAATTTATCCAACAGTTAATGTTCAAAAAAAAAATATTTCAGAGTTGATTTCCCCGTAGTAAGTGGAGCAGGAACATTTATAAATAGAAATGTTTGCAGAAAGCGCTCTTCGAATCAAAAAAACTTAGCGAAGTATATAAGGGACAAAACAATAAAATGTTAAAAATAGTCATAACTACAATAAGCTGTCAGCAAACATTAAACCCAGAATCTTTTTAGCTATACTACAAAGCAGTATACTGTTGATATTTAGATGTATATGATTGGTATGAAAATCCGTCAACAGTGCACAAAGCACATCTTGACATGAGCAAAAGTAATAACTAACTCACCAGTTCCCATGGCAGTTTATTCCATGGCATTATTTATGGCAGTTCCCAGTTTATGCCAAAGAAGCATCTAAAACAAATTTTATAAGCGACATCGTAAGTTACATGCTCGCAAATGTTTAAGGTAGGCGAACAAAGAAAGTTGTTCAAAAACAGAAGTGAGGAGTTTTTTAATTTTAGAAATGAATAATAAAGAATAATCAGAACTAGAATTATCAGAACCAATAGAAATTATTAAATTAGAAGTTGAAATAATAAACGATTTATATGATACCAATAAAGATTATGGAAAAAAACAACAACATTGATTTGTAAAGTAAATATAATAGAGTAAAACAGGGTAAAATGAAATAGCGAGTAGAAGGAAATAGTCAATGTTTATTCTTTTGCTCTTCATTAATTATAGGATAATCTTTTTGCAAATATTTTTAAATCACATTGTAGAGAATACATTTCCGAGTAAGATGATATCAAATTTTATTTTTGATGAAAAAGTTGTTATAAATTTTTAAGTTTCCGTAAGCGTAATATTAAGATTTTTTTTTTAATTATTTTTTTTTATTATTTTGAAAGTTAAATTTGATATCATTTACTTAAAAAGTTTTCTGCTATAAATTTTTACGCTGATTAAGAATCTTTTATCAAAATTAAATTTGCTATTTAGGAAAAAAGTCATGAGTAAAAGTCAAAAAAGGAAATACGCTGAATGAAATACGCTGAAGCAATAGCTCACTTCTTAAATGCGGCTTTTTTTAATTAAATCTCAAGTGATATATCTCCAACTATAAATTTTTTGTATTAAAGAAATTTTTTCAATGAAATTTTTCTGAATTTAAATAAATGACTTTTACTAACTGCTTTTATTAAATGATTCTGAATGAATGAAACACGCTAGTTACTCTCTTGTTAAATGCGGTTTTTATTAATTAATTAAGTCAAAAGCCCTTGCTCTATAAATTTTGTGCATAAATTTCAAATGGATTATTGTTAAATCTATTTTAATATAAAAGATACCTCGAAACAACTTGCATGCAAAGAAAAAAGAAAAACTATACAGCTATGCTTACGTTGTTATCCTATTGGATAATTTGATGAGCGTATCTACCAAAACTGATTCAGGTTGTTAACTAGTGGGATAAGCGTTTGGTAGAACTTACAATAATGCCATCACACTAGTTACCCCGACTGTTTTAAACATCAAGGTCAATCTCATTTGTTTTCTAATGGTACACTAGGAAGAGATTGGTATAACCTTATTTATAAACCAGTGGAGTCATAGGTTGAGCATCAGAGCGATAGGTAATATTTCATCACTCAGAGCCGCTTCTTGCACGCAAGATATAGTAGCAAAGTATTTCAACACATTGAGAAGAATTCAACATAGCAGGTATCAACGAAAACAATCCCTATAATTTGTGGTATTTTGATACAATTGGCGTCTCTGGTGATCTAGTAAGCAAAATAAAGTGTGCCTACGTAATGCAAAACAACCATTGGTTGACAACAGTGAAAAAATCCATTATACAGTTGGAAATTGCATTAAAACTGTTGGTAATCGTCTTGCTCCTTTTTTTAAATAACATTATTTTTAAATTGAAAAAACGTCTGTACAGAGATTGGTGTTTTAGTGGTCCAGAAAAAATCTTTAATTTTAAAATAATTTAATTTTCTTACCAGCTCACTTGTTACATATTCTGCA